TCTGAGTTCAGTCCCCCAGTACGGCAGAAACCCCTACGTGGTGTCTACGCCTGTCATCCCAGCTCTCTGCTGGCAGAGGTAGGAGAATCTTAAGTTCAAGGTTATCCTCAGCTACAAAGCAAATCTGAGGCCAGCCTGAGCTACTTGAAACTGTCTTGAAAAGAAAAGAGAGAGGCACCCAGCCAATATTGAGTGCCTACTGTATGCTGGAGCCTGGGATAGTGTGAGGCAAATAGGAACAGTCTGCCAACTGTCAAGTGCAGTTTGCGGGGGATGGCTGGTGTTTTGGCCTGGGTGGGGGTCGGACAGTCCTTCCTGTCACTCTTCTCCCCCTTGCCAGTGGCAGGTGCTGGGTACCAGGTAGCCGTTTCAGATGTGTCCAGACTGAGTGTTTCAGACCTCATTCCAGCAAGCTTCTAGGCCATCAGCTCTCATGTCTGGCTGAATGTCAGGTGTTTCCTACCCAGCAGGACCTGAGCGAGGTCCTTTACAGCTCCCCTCTCCCGCTTGCTCTCTGCCCCTTCTGTCTTGCATCTCAAGGAGGTATGAGAAGGATCCCCCTTCCCATACCTGCACACACTCACCCTTGTTCACCCCGGCACAGAATCCAGTTTTTGCTGCTCATTAGCCATGTGACCCCGGGCCATTCATTTAATTTTGATGGGCTCTGGCTCTCCCCGTCATATGTGGAGGTTCCCAACCCTGTCACCTTGGGCCATGGGGGTGGGGTTAAGTGGATTAAAGAAGCAAGTGGGTACCTGCCAGAGGAGAGGAGGCATCCCCTCCTCCTTAGCTGGGTGAGCCAACTGCACCCCACCTTCTCTGGGCCCTGCCTTTCGCTCTTTGCTTCTGCTGGCTGGGCCATTTGGAGGTGGCATACACTGTCTGACCCACCCAGAGCTGTTCTTGGCCGTATCAGCTTGGAGGGGACTCTTAGAAATCCCCACTAGACAGACCCTTGTGGAAAGGAACAACACTGTATCTACATAAATAGTCTCATCGGGAGCTTTGAAGTCCTGAGGCCCTTTGGGGTTCTCTTGGGGCACCTCCCTCTCCTTCTTATAATCTCTTCTCTGTCTTCATTTCCTCCTCTACCCTAAACAGTGGATTCCGAGGCCTCCAGGGCCTCTGTGGGCCCCATGAGGTGTCAGTTCAGCCTGTCCATCCTGTATGGGAAGCAAGTCCCTCCCTCCCTCCCTCTCTCCCCCCTCCCTCCCTCCCTTCCTCCCTTCCTCCCTCCCTTCCTCCCTTCCTCCCTCCCCTCGCCTTCCCTTCCTCCCTCTAGCTCAAACCTCTAGCTCCAAACCTCCTCCATGTTTCCTGGAGTCAGCACTTCCAGCTTTTCCTTTTGAAGTGTCCTCTACCCTGGCGCAGACCCAGAACCCAGTAGGAGCTTTGGGAAGGTTGAAGTTCAGTTTCCACTGTGAATGTCTTCCCGCCTCTGTCTCCTGCAATGGGCTGCTCCCAGGGTCTTGCTAGTGGGCCCCAGGGCTCCTGTCTGGATCTTGCTCTTAGATGTCAGGGTACATCTCTGTTTGGAGGATAACTGAGGGCGATGATGGGGGCTGGGCAATGCCAATCAGGGCACCCCCCTTCACACTGATACCCGTTGGGCCAGGAGTCTTCCCTTCTTTAGCTGCCAAAGCCGCTCTTGGCTTGGAGTCCTGGAAAGCTTGGCTATGGAAGTTTTTGAGTTTTTAAAAAATGTTGTTACATTTTTATTTGTCTATTTAATGTGTGCGTGTGTGTGTGTGCGTGTGTGTGTGTGTGTGTGTGTGTGTGTGTGTGTGTGTGTGTGTGTGTGTAGAGGTCAGAGGACAGCCCTTGAGAATTGGTGCCCCCTTCCACCATATGGGTCCTGGGGACCGAACTCAGGTTGTCAGAATTGGCAGCAAGTGCCTTAACCTGCTGAGACATCTTGCTGGCCTGTTTCTTCAGTGCTTTGAATTTAGAATTCTAGTTAAGAGCAGATGCTCCAAATTTGAGTTCCAGCTCTGCCACTTAGTTATGTGCCCTCCAAGATGTCACCTGATCTCTCTGTGCCAATTGACCCTCGTCTGTAAAATAGAAGCAAGGATTTTACAAGATTGTGGCAAGGATTAAAAGTGTTAGCACTTGCCAGGGCCTCCCATCAGAGCCAGGCACGGATAGATTAAACGATCTATGAATATCTGAGAGACAAATCAGCATGATTGTGAAGATATTGAAATATCTATCTCCATGCCCTTATGATCTTTAAGTCCAGAAAGGACCTAATTTTAGATCCTAGGGTCAGAATTCTTCCCCAGCTTCCTCCAGCCCCAGCAATAGATGACTGTCTGGTTATTGCAACTGTAAGAAAGTTCTCCAACAGGGTGACTCTGTTTGTGTGTGTGTGTGTGTGTGTGTGTGTGTGTGTGTGTGTGTGTGTGTGTGTATACTCTGTCCAGTGGCACTAGAACAATGAACAAGCTAGGCATTGCCCCTGGGAGCCAGCTTGTGCAGAAGCAATGGGGAGCCCGCTGGCTGTCAGGTGGGTATGTTGGAGGACCCCCGGTCGTCATCTACTTCACCCACCTCCTGGCAGGACTTGGCAGGCTCAGTTCCCAGGGCATGGTGGGGCCTAATGAGTGTGTGCGGCTGATGCAGCCTTCTGCAAATACCAGGCACAATATAAATAGCAATAATGAATAAATGAAGCTCCCGCAGCCAGGGAGGCCTCTGAGAGGGACCGCCCCAGCCTTGCTTCTTGTGGAGACAGGAGTTGCACTCCCAGCCTGCACTAGGTCGATGGCGCCTCTTACTCCCACTTCCATCCTGGCTGCTATTTGAATTCTCTATGTCTCTAGGATCCGCTCACTGTCCCGGGGATGTAGTAGGATAGGCTGGATGGATTGGAGATCAGAGGTGCCAAGAGAAACAAAGGAATTGCCCAGAAGGAAGTGAGGTGTACATCACCCTAGGGAATGCAATCTAGGGCTGGGTAGCCCTTCAGGAGGTTGTACTAAGGGCCTAGACCCTCAGCTTATTACCTGGTGGGTTCTCTAAGTCCCTGGGAGCCTCTGGAGTATGACAACAGTGTTGTTAGGAGAGAACAGCCATGATTTTCTTCCCACCCTGAAGTCTTTCATTCTCTGTGCCCTGGTCTTTTCTGCTGTGTATCCTGCTGGCCGGGGCTGGGCATCCTGCCCTCACCACCTACTCCTGCCTCAGTGTCTTTCTTCTCCCTTACCGCATCACCCATCTCTCCTCCCGACTCGGTCTTGCATAGCCTCCGAGGCCCAGTTCATGTGTCTCACCTTTGACGAGCCATCCTTGGAATCCACGATGATCTGAAGCCCTCCCATCCACCTTGGGGCTGCTCTCTGGTTGGTTCAGTTCACGCTGCAGAACGACCCCTAGCTTTGTGTGCACCTACAGGACTCTCCATTAGAGAACAACTGGTCCCCGGGGCAGACGCTGTATCTTTCCTGGAGCTCCATCCTGGTGAAGAAACCCTGCCATACTCCCTCCACGGAAGTCGGAAGGGCTGAGCACGGTGGTGGTGGGGAGCTGGTTAGTTAGTTGTTATTTTTGTTAACTGGACACAAACTAGAGTCACCTGAGAAGAGGGACGCTCAGTTGAGGAACTGCCTCCTTAGATCGGCCTGTGGACATATCTATGGGGTATTTTCTTGATTAACGGTTGCCTACTGTGGTACTACCCCTGGGCAAGTGGTCCTGGGTTGTATAAGAAAGCAAGCTAAGCAAGCCACCAGGAGCAAGCCAGTAAGCAGCATTCTTCCACGGCCTCTGGTTCAGCTCCCTCCTCCAGGTTCCTACCTTCCCTTCATGATCAACGTGGAAGCCAAATAAATCCTTTCTTCCCCAAGTTGCTGTTGGTTAGCGTTCCTCCCAGCAGTGGAAAGCTAACTAAGACAAGTGGACAGTGGGTATGGACTGGGGAGCACCCAATTCGTGTACGGGGTGGCTGCTTCCCAGATGAGTGACCTCTGGCTTCACACTTATCTCTGGTCTCAGTTTTGTTGACAGTGAAAATGAGGTGTTATGTCACCGTGTCAGGAAAACAAGCATTTGATTGGTATTTGGCAGGATCTTGATGCCTTATTTTGCATATATATATGTGAACCAATAAAAGGGGATTTTACTATGTAGCCTGGAACTGGCTTTGCGGACCAAGGCTGGTCTCGAACTTACAGAGATCCTCCTGCCTCTGCTGGAATTAAAGGCGTGCAACACCACTACTGGTGGTCTTTGAGTCAATCTTGAAGGGCAGGAAGAAGAGGGGCCGGAACGCGAAGCTTGGTGGGAACTTGAGTCTCTGAGGGACCTTTGAAGACCTGTGAGGCTGAGTTCCACCGCTAAGCTGGTCACTGGGTAGTGGAGCAAGCACCCCAACGGGAAGCCCAGTGAGAATCTGAGGTGTGACAGGACCAATAAACACTCGGCACCTGGGCCGCTCATTCATAGGGTCTCCCGTTTTTTTACGCATGACGCAGCCCAGTGCCAAAGGGGTCAGGACCCTCTCCAGGGGTGCGACCCTAAATTGTCGGGAGGTGGCAGCACTCCCGGGGGCTCCCGCCCCTCCGGAGGGGGCTCACTCGCCGCCGCCGTCACTCAGTCTGTCGCCCGCACGCCTCCCCCTCCAGCATCCCAAGCCTGCAGCTTTCCCCGAAGACATTTGGTGTCAGTATAAGGACGGCTTTTCCTCGCACGCGGCGCGGCTCGGTCTCGCCGCCGCCGCACGTCCCCGCACCGCCCGGGCGCTCCGGCTCCTCCGCAGCCCCCGCCGAGCGCAGCCCCCTTGCGCCTCGAGTACGGGCCGGGGGCGCGAGCGGCGCCGGAACCGGGGACCCAGGCGGCCCGACCCCGCGCCCCGCCGCGCCCGCCGCCCCGCACCTGCCCCGCCGCGGCCCCGCGCCCCCGCCCCCGGCCCGGAGCGCCGCGCGCCCGCCTCCCGCCGCGCGCTCCAACTCCGCGCGGCTAGCCGCTCGTCCGCGCCGCCCGCCCGGAGCCGCGGCGACCCGCCCGCCATGGCCCGCGCCCCCGGGCCCGCCACCCTGCGCGCGCCGCCCCCCTCGCCCCGGGGGCGCAGCTGATCCCGGAATCCGAGGCGTGGAGCCGGCGGGGCGCGGGGGTCCCTCTCCACGCCGGCTTCGGGGACACGCGTCACCCCCCACATCTCTGCCCGGGACGACCCAGCTGCCCGGCCACGTCCATGCCAAGGTAGGTGAGGCAGTGGATGGAGGTGGAAGGGTAGAAAAGGCTGAGCCCCCTGGTCGTTTTCTTGGCGCGTCGGGCTTTTTCTTTCTAGAGACGTTTATTTATTTATTTATTATTTCTGGGGACTGATCCCCCTGCCCCCATCTGCCAGCGCGTGCCCATCAGGTGGGCGCCACATCTTGTGCTTGGGGGTGGGGACCCTGCATTGGGAGGAAGGACAGGGAACTTTGACCGGGCCCCTCTCCAAGGCCACGAAAGTTCTCTTGGTGCCAATACTGAAGCCCAAAGCCGGCTGAACCAGCGCTGCAGAAATTTATTCAACAAGTCAGGCTGCTGGCGGGGGCCGGGGCTGTCTGTCTGTCCGTCCTGCTGTCCCTCTGCTGCTGCGGCTCTGCGACCAGCTGGATCAGAGCTGGTGCCAGTGTCCGGCAGGGCTGAGCTGGGAGCGTTAGCTAGGGAGGGAGAACCGCGGCAGGACTGAGTGCGAGAACCCCAGGCAGGGTTTAACTTTCCTCCAGGCCGGGTGGCGCAGGGCCCCTCCTTGGCCAGTACCCTGGGTGCCCACCCAGGTCGCGCTGCATGAAGCCAGGTCGGGTTGGAGCGGGCACTCCAGGGGCCAAGAGGAGTCCTCAGCTGCCAGAGAAATGGTTATATAATGAGCGTTTGTGTTGATTGAGGTTTAATTGTCTGTTGAGTGGTGTGTGTGGGGTGAAAGGGGCAAGAGGGCTTGGCAGGGGGTGGGTAGGTCTCTTTTGGGGGAGGTCATGATGCCCGGGGGAGGGGGGCTCAGGATAGGCCCAGCTGAGACAGCCACCAGCTCCTGTGCTGTGTCCTTTCTCGGCAGGATCGTAGGCTGTGGATGAGATTGGGGTCCGAGGAGAGACCCCTGAGATGTGTTCTGGCCTTTGGAATCTGTTTTGGGTTGTATGCGTGTGTGTGTGTGTGTGTGTGTGTGTGTGTGTGTGTGTGTGTGTGTGTGTGTGTATGAGATACAGAAAGAGGGAGGGAGGGAGGGAGAGAGCGAGCAAGCACCCGAGCTTGAGCTCAAGCCTGTCTGTGTCTGCGTGCTGACAGGGTCTGAACCGCATGTGAACAGTGTCCTAGGCTGGAGGGCTCAGGCTGGCCTGAGCTATCTGTCAATCCTTTGCCTCACTGCCTGAGGGATTTGTCCCTGCAGACTCTGCCACTGCCTGGAGGATCTGATGCCACACAGAAAAGGGTCCAGGGTCCAGGGTGGAGGGGAGGGGATTTGATGAGGGAGTTCAGGTCTGTCTTCTCCCTGTCCTTTCTCACGAAGCGGGAACCACTGCTTGAATTAGCATCCCCATTCAGCTCCAAGGACTCATTCAAAACTCTTGTCCACCCCTCAGGACAAACTTTCTGTTTGAGCTCCAAGTCCCTGGGGCTGGGCAATGGTGATCCCAGGCAAGAGGTGTTGGCGGGTGAGAGTTCAGGATGGGATAGGGAGATAGTGAGATGGAAACCAAGCTTGGGGCAGCAGGCTAGGGGTGAATGCAGAGACAGGAAGAGGATATCCTCGGGACACTCTGCTGGCCTGGCACTGAACTGGAGAACCTTCCATACCCTCGAAGGCTTGGGCCTCATCGTACTTTGTCCTGCAGGATCCATTCTGACTGTTCAGAGCTGTGCCAGCCAGAGGGAGGCTCTTCAAGCAGCCAGATCAGCTTGGGGGGGGAGGGGCTGAAAGCCTGTCTGGAGACCTCTTTCCCTTGACTAAAGTTCTTTATCCTCCTTACCTGAGTTTCTATCTAGCCTCCTTGCCTGTCTCCTCCACGTCTGTCTCTTATATCAGTAGCTCCTGCTAGGCTGGGCCAGAGAGGGTATCTTCTAAGCCCGCCAGAGGGCGCCAGGAAGTCTTCATCCCCGCTGGTTGACTCCCCTTGACCTTGGGCAGGTGGGTGGGGTTTTGCTGTTGGAACCTCCCGCTCACTCATCCACTCTAGCTGGTTCTAGACCTGGCCCTGGAGGGCCCTGCCTATCACCCATTGAGACTGGGGCGCGGTTACAGCAAGTACCATCCTGAAGCCAGAGCCTGAAGCTTCTGAACTCAGAGACCTGCTCTGAGCCTGAGCACACAATCTGGCCACCTCTGCCTCCCTGTCCCCAGTCCCTTCATCATAACCCCCATTACCTGCCCAATTCCATTGTTCACCCCACACCCCAGGTGCAGCTCCCAGGGCAGACTCTGGGCCCTACCCTCCCCCCACCCACAGAGATGCGCTCCCACCCCCAGCAGCTCGGAGCTCGTTGTCAAGGCTGGTGTGGTTTCCTGAGCTGTACCGTCTCTCACCCTTGCCTTGCTCTCTGACTCTCCAGCACTGCATCTGGGGTGCTTCAAAACTGTCTGCCAAGAGTGAAAGCTGGGTTGAGGGTGGAGGGCCAGAGGAGGGGAAATCAAGGCCCACTTCCCACCCTTGGCACCTCCGTCTCTTCTCCCTCCTCCTCCCTCTCTCTTTTCCCCACTTCGTCTCTTCCCTCCCGCTCTCCTTTCTGGAGAACATTTCCTTCCCACGTGTTCCCAGAGTGTGCCTTGCATAGTGCCCTCCGTTCACCCCGATGTCCTCCAGAGTGTTAGGCCCCGGCTGGGGCCGTTGACTACACAGATGTGTGGGTGCATGCTCCTGGGTGAACATCTGTAGATCCCTGGTCTGCAGGCCTGTGGGTCCTGAAATCTGAAAGATGGAGGGCAAGTCTTCCCCGTCCTAAGCTGCCAGCTGGAAACAAGAAGACAATAAACCTGGATTTCTGAGTTATTAAGCACCTACTGAGTGCCAGGCCTGATTCTGGTCTCTAGGACCCAGAGGTGAGAGAAGAGAACAGCCTGGATGGGTCTTCTAGGGGCTTCCATGCTTTGAGGGAGGGTCTGGCTTCCTCGCTGAGGGCACTGTGGAGACGCAGCTGCAAGTCTCCATACCCTCTTGTGCTCTGGGAGTGAGACTCAGGCTGGGCATGACTCATGGGGGTGCAGGACACATGGTCATTGGACACCCTAAGCAGGTGCTGGCAACTTGGGGCTCTTGAACAGGAGAGAGGGAGGAGAAGTGTGTACTGGAGAGTAGAGGGCCCTGGAGCCAGTGTCTCTTTGGGGTTGGAATCAGAAGAGACCTTGGTCTCCAGGGTCCTCCCTGGGCCAGCTGTCCCCTTCTGCTGGCCTTGGCTAATGATGCATCCTGAGACGGACATTTGGGCTCGTGTTCCATCCCCTGCTGTGCAGCCTGACCTACTCAGCACCAAGGCCTGGGTTGAGGCCCGAGTGCCCCCACCCAAGCTTTTATCCCAGCCGTGAAAGGAATAAGCGAGTCTGTGATTGGGGACTCCGAGGGGGCAGGCCACTCAGCATGGCGAGCTCAGCTTGTTGTAATTGGGATAATGCTTCTACCTTAAAGGATTTTTTTTTTTTTGCTAGACTTAGAAGTGTCTCTGCAGTACCTAGCATGGGGCCTCGGAGGGGGAAGCTGTTTTCCTTTCGTTAAGGTACTTTCCAAATCTCGCTCCATTTGTTATCTGCTTTGAGAGGGAGAGAGGCACCATCCTCCGTGTTTTTCACAGGTGGAGATGAAAAGGGAGATAGGGAAGGGATGCTGGGCACAGCCCGGGCTTTGGGACTCCCGGTCCAGTGTTCCTTTTCGTGGGACCCACCTCACTCCCATCAGGGACCGCCCGCACCCCGAGTTGTTAGTTGGAGGGAGACCCAAAGCTCTAATTATTGCAAAGTGAAGAAAGCAATCAGCAGAGACACCTGCTGGGGGACGTGCAAATGGTGGCGATTCAGGTACAGCCTTCCTTGTTCATATTCATCATGAGGCCAAGGGCCACCGAAAACAAACACAATGTCTGGGCCCAGGTGGGCAGGTGCTTTAGCGGGGCAGGGGCCCCTGGCCCACATTTTAACTCCTAACTCACAGATAGGCCTCCCAGTTCTTCCACTAAGTAGTCTTTGACCTTGGGAAAGACCCATTCCTCTCTCCGTGCCTCAGTTTCCTCTTTTCAGGAGACAGCACCTATGCTTGCTGCTCTAGGTTGTGACTAGGTGCCTGGCATGCTGTAAGTGACCACAAACGATGCTGGCTGTGACACTTGCTAGTTGTCCCAGGAGAAGTTGCTGAGCCAGTTCTCTGAGTGTGCTGCAAAGCCCGGAGGAAGGCTAGCTGTTGATTTTAGTTGGGGAGTCAAGAGGAGTTTAGGACGTGGGCAGGCTCAGCTAGCCAGACCAGAGCAAGTTCCATGTGAGTTCGTTCACCTGGGGGCCAAAGGTAAGCCTTTCCCATCTGAGCAACCGCACAGCAACTCAGACGACCTGAGGGGGGCAGTGGAACCCCCTGAGGCATAGGGGCTGGCGTCTGTGTTGTGTTTGGGCTCTAGAGCACCAGTCTGCATGAGAGAGGCCTTACCTGCAGCCTCAGGCAGGTGACCTGCAGCCTCAGTGTGAATCCAGCCCTGTCCCCGCAGAGGACATCGGGTAAGCTCAAGTTAGACCAAGAGGGGTTCTGGGAGTCTGGCGATCTGGAAATTGTCATCTGAGGAATGGTTGAGGGAGCTGGTGACAAGAGGCCTGGGGCAGATGAGGCTCAGGGGTGGGCGGGCTGTCATCGTGCATCTGCAGGGCTGTCATGCGGAAGAGGGAGCAGACAGGGATCTAGGGGCTCGGAGACGATGCCTGCAAGACTCTGGGAGGCAGTCTTCCCAAAGCTTTACTGGATTTCTTGGTGGCCCCCAAATTCAGGCTTTGCCCTGGTTTGTATGTGTGAGGGCTGTGTATCTGTGTGAGGGCCTAAGCATGCATGTATGTGTCTGTGGTCTCTCTCTCTCTCTCTCTCTCTCTCTCTCTCTCTCTCTCTCTCTCTCTCTCTCTCTCTCTCTCTTCTCCTTCCTTCCTTCCTTCCTTCCTTCCTTCCTTCCTTCCTTCCTTCCTTCCTTCCTTCCTTCCTTCCTTCCTTCCTTCTTTTTTTTCTTTTTGGGTTGGTTTTTCAAGACAGGGTTTC